GCCCTGATGCCTTTTAGTGTAAAATGACATTCATAAACCAAGATCTGAGTGCTAAATGGGCTCTTAGCTGTGGGGGTGTTGCTGTTCTAAAACCCTCTCAGTAGAGAGATATAGACAGACACACACACACACAGGGTGGGCAAAAGTAGGTTTACAGATGTATGTACAGTAAAAGACATGCAAGTTTTGATTATTATAACAGTTTTATTACCTGTTTCTCATACTCACAGCTGTAAACCTACTTTTGCCCACCCTTGTGTGTGTATATTATATATATGATACACATATGCAAACTGAACATTTATAACTTCTTATATCTACATATATTGAAAACCTTGAGCTTAGCAATTACCTCCAATTTCATTCCAACATCACAGCTTTCTCCCGATTGACTCCCACTGTCCTCAATATATTTACTTATAGCAATTTCCCCCATATGTAAACCAATCTCCTTTCGTCACCCCCACTACTGCACACATGGACAATACCTTCCTCACAATGCTTGTGCTCTAACCCGTGGCTCTAGGCCACCACCACCCAATTAAAACAAGCACTCTCCTCTCCCTTGGATTCTATCTTCTCAGGCTGGGCTGTCACCATTCCCTGCAGACACCCTCCTTATCCTGCTGGGATTCCCTCCTCACCCCACTCAGTCTCCACAACCTGCTGCTGTCCCTCCACTCCCACACCCACAGATGCCCTCTTCGCTTGCTCAGGACTCAACAGCCACAGGACTCTTGCCTCACCCTCCTCAGGCTCTGCCAACCCCCGCGGGGCTGCAGCCACCCTCTCTCCATGTGTGTTCTCCTTACCTGCTCATGCTACATCCTGTGCCAGCCCACGAAGACACCCTCCTCCCTTTGGGCTCTGACCCCTGGTTCCAGGCCACCACTACCACTCCCTCCCCTGTAGACAACTACTTTGCTTGGTCCCACCTAATGGCTTTTGGACTGAATTATTCAGAAAGGAAAAGAACAAGAACGGTACAGTCATTCATGGCCTATCCAAGGGGTACGTTCTGAGAAAGGCACTGTTAGGGACTTAACTGGCGTGCCAACATCATGGAGCGCACTTACACAAATCTAGATAGTGTAGCTTACTACACACCAGTTTTTTTTACTTTCTACACCTAAATTTTTTTTTTTTACTTTTTGATTCTCTTTTGTGGTGATAATTAGCTTAAAACAAAAACATTGTATAGTTGTACAAAAATATTCTTCTGTTTTTTTTCCATTATCATTTAATATTTATCATTCACTATCATCATAGCAAAATGTTTCTTAGAATACAAGGTATAAAGATGAGCAATTCATGAGTTTTTCCAAGCTTAAAATCTAAAATATATATATTCATTTTACCTTACTATAAATAATTAGCAAGAAACAAGGGCAGAATTTGTCTACAATCCCATCATTTAATCAAATCAATGTTTCCATTTAACCCAGTCACCTTTTGGTCCCTGTGCATATGGTTTGGGACATCATGGATTGATAAAAATTGTATCATGTGTGAGTAATTCACACTGGAAAATGATTATCCCTTAATTAAACAATCACCTCACTTTTACAGAGAGCCAGAGACATCATCATGGGAACAGAAATGCAATCAATAACAAATTTGGCAGATATATGCAGATTGGGACCTTATAATGAGCATTTTCATGCTGGCACATTATAATTTTAAGTGCTGGCAGCAAGTCTCCACTTTCCCTTTATATATTAGTGAAGGCATGTGGAAAATAGTTGAAACTCTCTCTGAATCTAGTATATGCATATTTTAGGGTACATACTGTATTATTGATTGATTGAATTTATTGGGGTGACACTGGTTAATAAAATTATATAGATTTCAGGAGTACAATTTTCTTTAAATAAATATATCTTTACTGATTTCAGAGAAAGGAAGGGCAAGGGAGAGAGAGATAGAAATATCAATGATGAGAGAGTCATTGATCGGTTGCCTCCTGCACGTCCCCCACTGGGGATTGAGCCCACAACCCGGACATGTGCCCTGACCGGGAATCGAACCTCAATTTCCTGGATCCTAGGTCGATGCTCAACCGAGCCACACCGGCCAGGCTATTTTCTCTCTTTATATTCTTACTCTATAAGCTTTCTTCTATTTAAAAAAAATTTTTTTTTACTTTAAACTTTTGGTTAAAAGACTAAGTCACAAACATACATATTAGCCTAGGCCTACACAAGGTAAGGATCATCAATCTCACCACCTCCCACCTCCACCTCTTGTCCCACTGGGAGGTCTTCAGGGGCAGTACCATGCATGGAGCAGTCTCCTATGATAACAATGCCTTGTTCTGGACCTGCCTGAGACTCTTCTTGAGGAGCTATCACTCTTTTCAGAAATATGTCCATGGTAGTTTGATTGTTTTTTTAATCACAGAATAGCTGTAAGCAGATAATACACCATGAACATTCCTCTCTATTAATAATAACCTTTTGGTGTTGGAGTTCATGTTTTCAAATTTTTTAAGGAACTTGTTGAACTTTACAAAAGCTTCTGCTAGCCCAGCCGGGTGTGGCTCAGCAACTAAGCATCGACCTGGGATCCAGGCGATCAGGGTTCAATTCCCAGTCAGGGCACATGCCCGGGTTGCAGGCTAGCTAATCAATGACTCTCTCATCATTGACATTTCTCTCTCTCTCTCTCCCTCTCCTTTCCTCTCTCTGAGATCAATAAAGATATATTTTAAAAACAAACAAACAAACAAACAAAAAAGCTTCTGCTAAACCCTTCACTAAATTTTCTTGGGGTTCTTTCTCTTCTCCTGCAGTTTCCCTTCTCTTGCCTCTTAGTCAATTCCTCAGGAACCATCTCTAGAAGCTCCTCAATTTCATCCTCAGCACAGCCAGGTTAAAGTTGTTTGCCATCCCAACCACAGCATTACTGATTTTTGCAACCTACTCATCCTTGCCAAATGCTTTGAAGTCATGAATGAGCCTCTTGAGTGTCTTCTTCCAGATGCCATTTACGCACTTCTTGGTGACATCACCCCAAGCCCAAGCAAGGCTCTCGATGCAGTCATAAGATGTTGTGTTCCTTCCTTCCAAAACTGCATCAGTGTCTTCCTCAGTTGCAGCAATAGCCTGGGCAAAGGTCCTCCTCAGGTAGTAGGCCTTAAAAGGTGCTACAAGTCCTTCATACATTGGTTGGATTTGAAGTGGAGTTTGGAGGGAGAAACACCCCTTTGATATTGGGGTCAAGACCACCAATGAGAGGAGGATGCTCAGAAGCATTACCAACGATAAGCAAAATCTTTTCTTTTCTTTTTTAAATATATCTTTATTTATTTCAGAGAGAGGAAGAGAGAGAGAGGGAGAGAAAGAAACATCAATGATCAGAGAGTCGTCATCGATCGGCTGCCTCCTGCATGCCCCTGACCAGGGATTGAACCCGCAACCCGGGCTTGTGCCCTGACCAGGAACTGAACCCTGATCTCCTGGATCCTAGGTCTAGGCTCAACCTCTGAGCCACACCTGGCCAGGCAACAATGAGCAAAATCTTGACAGGTGAGTTATTCTCCAAACTCACTTCTCCATTTCATGGGCATAGCAATTCATGAGGGCACCTTGGAAGAGGAGCTGGGTCGTCCACGCCTTCTTACTGCTTCTGTAGTACACTGGCCTGTGTGCTTAGCGATGTGCTTGAAGGCCCTGAGGCTCTCACTGTGCCCCGGAGGGTTTCAATGTGTGGCCTGCAACACTGCTCACAGTTATTCTGTTATTCTGTCCTTAAAAGCCTTCAAACCTAGCTGGTATTGACTTGGCCTCCTTATGGATGAAAGCACTTTCAGGCATTCGTCTCCAGAACGAGGAGGTTTCATCCATACTGAATATTTATTTGCTCTGCCAAGTAATTTTCCTCCACAATCAGCTTATCTAGAGTTCCTAAAATTTCATTTGCTGCCTTCATCTCAGTCACAGACTCACCACTTACTTTCACATTATGTAATAAATGATGATTCTCGTTTTTAAATTGTTATTAAATTTATTGAGGTGACACTGGTTAATAAGATTATATAGGTTTCAAGTGTACAATTCTATAAAGACATCCAAAATTAATAACATCAAGGTTGAAAGTTAGAACAATGATATGTCAAACAAATATAAGTAAAAAAACTGTTTTTCGGAAATGACAAATAATGTAACATACACTGACATACCCTTATTAAGGTGGGAATGCTTGGTATATTTGCTCCTCATGTGTTTTTGTTGTGTTGTAATTAAAAACTAAAAACCTGAGAAAATAGAACATAAAGCCACTTCCCAACAAAAAAGCCATGTTTTATCAATGGTTACCCGTGAGTGAATAGCATTTCTGTTCATCACTGCACCTCTAGCATGTAGCATCTGTAGTTACTCAACATTCTCTATACTGGCTGGATAAAGGTTTTACTATGAAAGATTCAAGAATGCCTGGGCAGGCGTGACTCAGCAGTTGAGCATCGACCTAGGATCCAGGCGATTGGGGTTCGATTCCCGGTCAGGGCACATGCCCGGGTTTCGGGCTCGGTCCCCAGCAGGGGGCATGCAGGAGGCCGCCGATCAATGACTCATTGATGTTTCAACTCTCTCTCCCTTTCCCTTCCTCTCTCTGTAATCAATAAAGATATATTAAAAAGAATGCAAAAAAAGGGCTGCATTACAGAATTTATTATATCTTTTTTGGCTCTCATAAGTGACCCCTTTTTATTAAGATCCTTTGAGAGAGAATCCTAAAAACAGCACTTCTGAAGAGATTAAAAACAGGAAGTGTTCTGCATTCTGCTTTATTCCCCTGCTCGAAGTGCTCAACGTTTCCATATTTCTCTCCCTTTGGTGCCATGTTTTAGTCACCGGAGTAGAGAATTCAATAGCTGTAAATCCTTCGCTGAAAGCTCATCATTGCCTTTTGGATTCCAAACTGAATTCTGGCACCCAGTGAACTGTTCAAAATTAGCCCCAATCTACAACACAGTAAAACAGAAAAAAAACACCACATACCTTCCATCTTTCAGCGTGTTAACAATGAATCGGTTAATCTGGCAAATACAGTTGCTAGACAATTGTTCGCCTTCAACAAGAGGGTTCAACTGTGTTGCCAACATAAAAGCTGAAAAGCAGAGATTAGTTTAGTCCCCAAAACATTTTAGCCATGACAATCTGAAAGCTGATCACACCTGTACTAGCAAAGAAAAATGCCTTAAGTATGTTCCTGAAATTAAAACTAGTCAGACAGACTCTGCAGAGTGAAAAACAGTATAATTTGCTGTGCATTAATTAAGCATCTGCTGCTACTCTGAAATGTATATATTTCTTAAAGTGCACCAAATCATTTTCCCCATCATTCAGGTTTCATGACAGAGACTAAAAAAATCTTTTCTAGGTCCTTCACATTGTGACTAGAGATAGCAACCATATATTCTGCAAATTCTCTCCTTTCTCCCAGGTAAAGCTTTCAACACAGGAATAAAGCCCTATAAATGCAAGTATAGGACAGCTAACCCATCATATTCACTAAATGTCAATATCATCCTGGGGGAAATTAATCAAAGAAAACATGGAGCACCAGTTAGAGAAAATTAATTAAGCCAAGTGGCAGCTTTCCACTAGATCCAGTCTATTGTTAGAATGCTCTCTGACAGCTGCAATTCTGTCTGAATGAATTACATAGCCAAGCAAACACAGACTTCCAGAATGCCCCAAATTATTGCAATCGTAATGTTGAGTTTGCTTTTATTATTTAAATCCAAATTCCTAGATTTATACATCATACTTACAGGATAGAGTGTTCAACCCATCACTCATGAGCAGTCGATAGCGGGGTGGACTATTTCCTGTAGTAATGGGACGGATGTTCTAGAATAGAAAATTTGATTCATTAGCCAGGTTGTCTGCCCGGTCCCCAGGGATAAGTAAACCTAAGTGGCAGGAGAGTAGGCTTGCCATTAGATCAACACAAACTGAACTGCTAGTTCATTCTCTCAAAACCTAAATCCAAGTAAAAGAAATCAGACTTGATTGTCCCATCAACCTCTATCCACTAACATTATGAAAGACAACATAGATGAGAACAACACGTTGCCAATACTCTTGTGTTCTCTTCCCTAACTCAAATTTGTTGAAAATCAACTCTAAAAAATATATAACAAGGTATCTAATATATGCAAGGTACTGTGTGGGAAACATGCTAAAAATACAAAATGAAAAAAATATATATTCTTGCCTTGAAGGGAATTACAATGAGGGTAGAGATGGAGGCCGGGAGACATAGGAGAAGTGTGCACATAATGACATGGGGCAAAGCCAAGACATTTATCCCAACTGGAAGGAAATCAGAGGCAACTTTAAGTGAAATATGTAGAAGCCTTAAGATAAAAAAAAGCCTTAAGATGACTGACAGCTAGTTTGAGAGTAACAGGGAGACCACCAGGCTAATGACTCAGAATCTGCAGGTATAATCCATGATTCTGCTTCTATTGATTTTTAAATTTCCCACTAAAATCTAAGAACCACTTAAATGATAGGGTTAACGAAGACTTTTAACCAGACAAGTTTATTTTACAGAGAGGCCATATGTAAGACAGATTTGAGCAAGACAAACCCAAGGGCAAAAAGACGAGGAGGAGGCAGTTGTAATGATGTGTAGCACTACAGCATCCATTAATTGTGGAAAGAACAGAGAGGCAAAACCTCAGATTAAAATCTCCAAAGGTCTACCTCTGACTAACCTAATACATATTTTTAAAGCCTAGCTCCTTTCTCATGGTTGTAACATGGACTGGCTGAGTTTTTGTGACGATGGAGAGACTTTCCTAAAGTGAACAAATCTTTATGTCCTTCATCAAATGTAATTTATGATAACACATAAGTTTAAAAACTGCTTGACATAAAATATATGTAGTTACTTACAATGACTTGGAGGATGGGTTTTATGGATGTGTCTCCCTGTTGCATTATGGCCTAAAAGAGTAAAAACAGATTTTTGTGAGATATGTGCTCAAATCATGATTAAAACTGGACATATCTTTACAGTTTAGAATTTGTAATAAACTATAGATAGTATTGTTAAAAGAGCCTTTGGGGAGCTTATCATTTGAAGATCTAGTTTAAGTTTTATCACTCTGGACAAGTTATAAAATCATAAAAGTGAGAGACATGCTTGCCAACAAGGATACACTCACCACATCAAAAATACTGGCATTGCATAAGTACTCATGCATAACAACACATTAATTTGAATACAGTGACATTAGGGAATGGTAAATTTTTAAAACAATATTATACAGACTTAAAGAGAAGACGTTATTTATATAATACTGGTTCCCTCTTTTTTAATTAAATTTCTTAGAGTGACTGGTTAACAAAATTATATAGGTTTCAGGCGTATAACTATACACGTCTTCCAAACATTGCATTGGTGCATTCACCACCCCAAGTCAAGTCTCCTTCCATCACCATTTACCCCCCTTTTACCCTCTTCTACCCCCACCCGTTCGGCTGAGTTGTAAGTTGTGTATATACAAAATGAGACTCCACAAGGCCAGGCAAAGAGTAAGCATTAAGAGAGCTATAAACTGAAGTATTACTGGAGCTCACAGAAACTATCATACATTTGTGTTCCAACCAGCCAGAGTGGAGAGAACTCAATAAACATGGTGCATTCAGTAAAGACCCCAGAAATGCCATGGTTTAGAAATAAGACTAACTAGACCCAAAGTAAAATCTACTCTAGACCCACTCCAATCTCAAAGGGATCAGCTAATCGGCAAGTAAATTAACAGCCTGCTAGACAACTCAATATTCTTAAAAGAAATACACGTAATCCAGACACTAAATAATGTTATATTCATAATGTCTAGTATCTAGTAAAAAATTACTAGATGAAATATTTTATGAAGGCAGACACAAGTTAAAGATATATGCTACAACCTTGAAGCAGTTGTCAAAATTGCAATATGAGGGCCCAAGACCTTTTCAGGGGGTCTATAAATTCATCGTATTAAATAAGACATTGCCCTTCTCACTCTCATTTACTTAATACACTGAAAAATTGGCTGAAGAAAAAATAAAGCCTTATACTATTAGCATTGATGAATGTCCGCTAGATGAAAAGTCAGTAAAAGAAAGCACAGCAGTGCTACTTTCCAATGACAGAGCAACTTGCTGAGTTGAAGAAACAAGACTCATCATGACGACTGAGTTAATATCTCTTCTGCAGAATTCTACTTTTGCCTTACAAATGAATGAATCTAGAGATGTGGCTAGAATTGCTGCTTTGCTTGTATTCTAATGGTATCATAACCAGTTAATCATCTAGCAGGATCTTCTCTCATGTGAACACTTGACAATAAACTCAAATTATACTGAAATATTCAAAGTGTTGAATTATTTTCTGAAACTCATGGCTTATCCTGAAACAGCTGTGTTGACATTTGAACCGATGGCACAAAGCAGTGATAGGTAAGACTACGGGTGCCTTATTATACCAGTAGGCACTATATTCTTCTGCCTTGAACTCATGGGAGTAGGAGAGGTTTCACTCAAGAATACCTTTGATGAAGCAGTAAAATTATGTTATATTAAATTTAACTCTTGAATACAAAATTTTTTTAATATCCTACATAACAATACGGAAGTATGCAAAAAGGACTTCTGCTGCATACTGAAGTATGGCTTTCATCCTGAGGAAAAGCACTTGTGCAACTGATTCAGTGAACTGAACTAGCACTTTTTTCACAGATCATCACTTTTTATTTGAAAGGGAAAACTATTCAGACTTGGGAATTTAATATTTTCTCAAAAATAAAGTGAGTCTGTTTTCAAGGAAAATAATTAGCAGTATTTGTTGCCAATGATGTTTTCTAGTAAAAACCAGAAGTTTTGAAAACTTGTACTCACCACCATGTGCTTTACAGCTTCCCAGTACTTACATATGTTTCTGATTAAATTAGCAGTGATGTTAATAAATGTAAATTTTTGTTGTGAATAAAATATATCAACATTTGGGATCTGCATAATGCAACAAACCAATATTTTTCAAACGATCAATGCATAATGTTACAAATAACACAAACTAAAACATCCATTCAAAAGGCAAGATAGTTCAGTTCTACATTCCAACTAACTTTTAAGAAAGTACCATTTAATAAATGTTTTGATGTAGTATTAAAGGAAAACTGTTTTTCCATTCTAAGCACTTCTGACATCGAATATGTGGGTTTTTCACAGGAAGCAATTCTCTGTAGACACCATCTGATTATCCTACAATTCAGTTCTGACACTAACTACCCCAAGTTAGTGTAGACCCCAGGGGTTAAGGGCTCAATCCCACAAATCTGTCCCAAGACCACTTCAGACACCAGTATCAAATAGTGGATCCCCAGGCTACCCATACTTATGTTCAACATGGCTATGAATTGAGGATTCCCACAACCCCCTCCCTCAGGCTCCCAAAACTCAGGGAAACACTCTACTGGTTCATCACAGAAGATATTATAAAAGATACAAATAAGCTCTGGCCAGTGTGGCTCAGTTGGTCAGAGCATCATCTCATGTACCAAAGGGTTGGATTCCCAATCGGGGGTGGGTACAAGAGGCAACCAATCAATGTCTCTCACATCTAAGTTTCTCTCTCTCTCCCCCTCCCTTTCCCTTCCTCTCTCTCTAAAATCAATAAAAACATGTCCTTAGGTGAAGATAAAAAAAGAAAAAAGAAATGAACAGCCAGATGAAGAGGTACATAAAGCGAGATCTAGAAGAGCCCCATGCATAGGAGACTGTCCTTGTAGGGCTTGTGGTGTGCCACCCTCCTGGCACTTGGATGATTCCACCAACCCAGAAGCTCTCTGAACCTGTTGTTTAGGGTTTTTAGGAAGGCTCCATTAGGTAAGCATGATAGATTAAATCACTGGCTGCTGCTGCAGAATTCAATTCCCAGTTGGGGGGGGG